ACAAAGAATACAGTGCAGTCAAGCCATTATCATGAGTTCATGGAATTTTTTCAATGTTTCCAAAGCCTCAGATGCTGAGCGTGGATAGGCATGATCATACTTCATTTATTGCCTTTCCTTCATTACTTTCCTCCATCACATGACTTTCATCTCTGCATGGCTGTTGCCTTTTTTCCAAGCTGAAACTCTCTTGCAACTTCTTTGTTTTTTATGCATGAAATTATTGACTCATACAAACTTTTCACTAAACTTTTCAGCAACATTTTTAGCTTCCATCCACTTTTAAGCAAATGCACAGTTTCATAACTTTTATAACATAAAAAAAATGCAAATCATGTCTTGGCTTTTTGCTTACCATTCTTTACCTTGGCAAGGTTGAAAATGCAGTCTTTATCACACAGTACAGGAGATGCAGGACATGTAACCCATTTCATTAGATGAAGGGAGACAGGTAGGGGAGCATTCATTGTCAAAACTTGCTACTAAGTAAACTAATTTCATAGGTGGTGCACAAAAATAGCTTTCTAGTAGGAAAATCTTGCCAATATGCAACTTGCTATTATCCAAACTACTTTACTTTAAAATGTGTAGGACTTTGCCAATGTATTAGAATATCTTGCTTTTAAAGGACTTTCTAATAAATGAGTTCTATTTTATATTTGAATTTGTGTGTGTTACTGACACTTTAATTTGTTGAAATATAAGTTTCATTCAATACTGCAAAATAGTGTTATAAAAAATTTTTAAATTTGGAATTTAAAATGAGAAAAACTCAACAAGGGCTCTTGCTCAACTTTCCTGCCACTCAAGCAGGAGGTTAAAAAAGATTATGTAGATTTTTTGATTTTTATATTATTATTATTATTATTAATTATTATAAAAAGGCAAAAGCATTATTTTAAGGGTTGGCAAGGTTTTAAAAAATTTATAAATGCCAATGAGTAAAATTTACATTAAGCCTGACCCCAGACAACATATGACTTCTACCCCTCTATCCCCTTGACCTTTAATCACCAAAATTTACCATTATCAATGCTCCATGTATAGAAATAACCCAGCCAAGTTTAAAAATTTTGGTTCATTCAGTTTTGAGATATAATGCAAAATATCACACAATTTCGTAAGGAGTTTTTATATTTTTCAGCTCCTAGAGTGTCTAAGCATATAAAAAAACCAGGGATCAAAATTTGACTAATATCATACTTTTCCTGTTATATTCTATAACAGCCGAAAAAATAAAATAAAGATTTGTTTCATTATAACAGTAAAATGGGAAGTGTTAAAATTATTTAACACAGTATATTCATTTTTACATTAATTAGCTTTCCTTTCAATAAATAACATTTAAAAAAATAAATTTCAAAGTACATTAAAAATCAACTTACAAAACTCACCAGGTAACTGACTGACTGTTTTTGGTAAGGATGTAGATAAAGGTGTCATATCCAAATAACCATCTTCTTGCTTTAAATTTGAATTAATATTTTTGGGAAGAGGCAAATCTGTTGGTATTGTTATTCCAACTGGAGCCATTGGCACATAACCCTCAAAACCTTTTGGAAGATCCAAAGAATTAGATGGTGAATCTGATACTAAACTTGTCTGTTTTGAAGGAAGTGAATTAGGGACATCAACAGTTAATGAACCAACTGCACTCATTGTCATATATCCTTCTGTAAATTGAAAAAAATATTACATTTAAAGCAACTATTAATAAATAACAAATATTATTTAAATTAAAAACTTAAAATAACAAACAATTCAATTACAGATATTCCTCGTATAACACAGTAGTTACATTCTAAAAAAATGTAATGATATTTTAATCTGTGCTATACGAAACAAAGGACAAATGCAAAACATAGGATTAGACCCCAGAAGTTAGAAAACAATAGTATACTTTTGCTGTCACCAAGAGGAATATGTTTAGAAATAAATCAATAATTTATTTCTAGTCAATATTTAATTAACAATCACAATTAAAAGTACTGTACATGTTATAATTAATTATAGTTAAATGAGAGCATTTTCTTTTTACAAAGTATCATCATCAACTCAGCTTTTTTTTTTAAATCTTGATCAGAAGTATCAGCAACATTTTCTTATTTTTTTATTTTTATCATAAAAAAATTTTTTATGAATGACAAAATAAAAATGTTATTAAATGAAAATTTTTCTAAAGAGTTGTGTTTGTTCAGTTGAATCTGTGCTATATGAGACAAAGTGACTTTTTCCAGAATTTGTGTTCAAATACCAAATTGTTCAAGTACAAAGATACTGCTGTAGTTCACTCATCATTTTATGAATGATTGCTTACCTACAGTTAAAAAAAGTTTAATATCACTTATCTAAAAATGTTTAAATAAACATTACTAAATATGAACATTAGTCTATAAATAGAAGACACAGTGACAGTTTTAAAATCTTAAAGCAACCACAACACCTAGTTTATAAGAAAGCTAGTGCAATTTTTTCTTCCTTGTCCTACCAGTTTTAATTAAAGTAAACCGAACAAAAAGTACAAAATAATTAGAAAATTTCATTATTCTAAAATCTATGGGCAAATTTGAGACAACACGCATGTTTACTTGAATAAAAAAAATATTGAATAACAAAGTTTACATTTAAAAATTGTATGGAATTTTTTATGGAGAATTTCCAAAACCATGTTAGAGTGAAACTGGAAATTGTGTTGTATGGAGGATATCCCCAATTTTTGAACTGTGTTGAGCTAAGTGTAGAAATTAGTGCCAAGTGGCTGTTAGTAGGAAGACTAATAGCTAATTAATACTAATAAAACTGAATGCGATCGCGAATCTTAATACTACTTAACAGCTAGATAAGACAAGACAAGACAGTGCGAAAAGCATACGAACATGATGACAAATTAGACAAGACAAACAGACTGACAGAGACAAACTGCAAGACCCCAAAATTTTTATTTATTTTTTTATCATCATATTTTTTATGTATTTATTTATTTTTTTTTAAATGTCAACTTACTCACTAACTAAATTAACCTACTATAACCTAGAATAAACCTAACCAGACAACTAAAGCTAACAAACCCTAATCTAATTTAACTTAACCTAGCATAACCTAACCAGAAACCAAGTTAAGAGTCCCTAAGCTAACTTACGACTAGGACTAACCAAATATAGACTGAAAAAGAAGACAGAAAACAAGAATTAAAATACAAAGTTGAAAGGCAGCTATATACCAACAGTTGAAACAAAGCAAGGAAAAGCTAATTTCTGGTATATAACTGCCATGCTTTTGTAACACACTTGCAAAGATGTACAACAAATTCATCCAAAACCCAACTGCTGTTCTAAAGAGAATAACATTCCTTATACAAAAGCAGCAGCAAACTAGCAACATGGTGAATACTACACTATTACATGCTTACCTACAATGTACAAATTTCTCTCTGAAATACTGATAAATAAAATTACTACCTGTATACTCGCACACTCTTTTGGTATCATCAAATGGACAAATACAAAACTAAATAACTCGCTAATTGCATTAAGAGTTATCACTGATGAACCATTGTATGAGACACACAAGTCTGCAGTGAAGTCACACTTCCACTGATGACAGTGGACTTAGAATTATTAAAATCAGATAACTTCACACAAGATAGATCAAAAGCTAAAGAAAATACTTCCTAACAAAAATAGAAGAGTACAAACTCTACTGAACTGTGTGTTCCTCAGACACTGACATAACACCTTTCATATATAATATAACATACAATATGGAAAAAGTTTAGGGACCATAATTTTCTACAGTACTAGCAATCCAAACAAATACAACCATGAATACCATCTCTTTAAAGACTGTCAACAAAACAGCATCAAACCAGTGGTTCAAATGTGATGATCTATATGCACAGACAATGGTTTTATGATGGCAATTCAGGATAAGGTAATAGCAACACAAAATTACAGGAAGCACATTCTCAAATAAAACACCGAAAATGAATTTCAATAGTGTCACCAGACTGGTGAGACTGTCGATCATATCAGATGATGTAAACTGTTAACACAGAGTACATGAAAAGGTAAAATAATGTCCCAAAAAATAATACACCATCATATAGCTCTATGACTGACCTTTCTGAATTTACACTGTATTAGAAATACTATCATTCTGATGTCCTTGACAGTGAGGACTAAATTATACAAAGAGAGATAAGAACAGATAAAACCTTTTCTGTCAATAGGCTTGATAATCACACTTATTGAAAAGACAAAACAGGTCTAATTGACACCAACGTCCTGTATAACCAAAATTTACAAACAGGATTTACAGTCAAAATTGAGAAAAACAAAGACTGGCAATTGAAGTCAAAAACTTATGGAAACTGGAGAGAGCATATATCTGTCCTATAGCTTATCCTCCACAGGTGTATTCCCAATAACTTTCCAAACTCATCTGAAGGCCTTAAATACTAAAATTCTTTCTTATAACATTCAAAAAGCCATCATTCTGGATACATGTAGCTCTTGCGACCCTTCTCATGAATACTGAAGCAACACTAAGTGTTTTTTGAGACCCTGCAGCTTGGTAGCCTGATTAATTATAGCAATAGTTTGGTTTATTACAATCATGAAGTCACAGATGAGTTATTTTTAAAAAAATGGAAAAATTCAACAATAAAATACAGCCACTCCTCACATAATGACCTATTATTTAATGTTTAAAAGGAATGTGCTCAGCAAAATAATAATTAATAACCAAACACCTTTATCGTTGCTGAGAAAATTTAATTAAAACAAATTGGAATTTAATTAAAATTTATTAATTAAAAAACAAATTTAATTAAAACAGAATCTTCCAATTGTCCATTGTGACGATGGCCTATGTAATAGGTCGAAAACGTTTGTTTTTAATTTAAATTTTCTCGGTAACGATAAACGTGTTTGGTTATTAATTATTGTTTAATGACCACTTAGACTTATAACCAGGAATCCAGTATGGGGAATCTCCTTTCTCAGTTGCGCCTTGGAAATTCCCTTTCATACTCTTAGGCTTGTCCCTGCAGTTGATCAGTAGTTACTATAAGAAGTGTTCACAATCTCTAAGACTACATATTTCATTTATAAATTTGTACTTTATTATGCATTCCATAGTACAAAATGTTAGTGAAAAGAAAGAGCATGATTTCACATAGAGGAAGTGCCAAGAATTGAAAGAAGGGCAACAGAGTTGGAAGTGTAAAAGAGCTTGGAAAGAGAAGAGAAAAGAAAATCCAGAATAAAATATATATTTTAAAAAATGTAAAAATACACTCCATTTAAGTTTTGTACAAAAAGAAAAACTTTTGAAGTCTTCTAAATATCCTTTCACAATTGTGAGATTAGCTGCAGGTAGGAGGTCCCAAATCCTTTGTTTGGCCTCAGGTTGGTAAAGTCTGTCTTGTTGTCAACTGGATGGTGCTTCGATGAATTATCGGCGGGATTGCAAGATCCAGCCAACGTCAGGATGCTGACACCAGTTAGGATAGAATTAAATGCATCCTAACCTACAAATTGTGAACAAAGATTGAATAGGAGGGTCTAAATTCTCAAATGGAGAGGTCGGTAAGTTGATAGGTTCTAAGAAATGACAGGCAGTCAAGTTTATAAACATAACATACGTTTAATAACTAGGTAAATCTACGGCTACAATACATTACCATATAAACTATTAAAGCTACATGACTAAAAGGTTATTAAATGACTGAGTATCTCACTTGGGCCATCTATTCCGTTTTTATGTTTCTATACTCCAATAGAGAGAGTTTACATATGAGCTAAGCATTTACCTCTAGTAGATATACAATTTGATGATCTCCGGGAATATTGGGTCAATGTTGGTCTTCATATAGAGGTGTTGTATTGGCTGCTTCTAAGTTGGGCCTTGGGTGGCTTCAGTTCTGTATGGTGTCTTAGGATATGTCAGACTGGCTATGACAAGTCTGAAGGTGTCTGCTGGAACAGGCTGGCTGGAGATGTCTGCCGATGTATGGCTTTTGCTGAAGTCCACCTCAATTCGAGTTCTAGCCTCCCTTTTATCTGATTTTGCCTGGGAAAACCTGTCAGGTGATAGGATGTTTAGCAACGAATATGCAGGTGTGTGGTCACAGGTAGCTGTTGATGACGTTAAGATGTCATCATATGGAGCTGTCATGACCATATTTGGTTCAATTTCCTTCTATTTACTCGTGGACTTTCTCCTCCTTTGACATCCAATTGTTTAATCTAATGCTCAGATGTTATAATTCTCTCCCAGCTGTTGATAGAACAGGTTGTCATTCAATCTGTTTTCTGTGCGATGTTTTCTTAATGATCACAATGGAGAAATAGGCTTAATAATTTTCTTAAATTTGTGCAAAATCAAGTGCTCGATCTCACACAATCAAAATTGGCAGAGTCAATCTTGTTTTATAGGCTCTTCCTGACCTATATTTATGTAAGTTGTTTAAAAGTTCTGTAACAGTTTAGTGAAAGGATGTTTAGAAGACTTCAGTTTTTCTTTTTGTATAAATCTTAAATAGTGTAAAGTTTTTACATTTTTTTTCAATGAGCAAAGAAGCAGAAAAGTTCAGTGTAAAGGGTATATTCTCTAAGGTATATTCTTGAAATTGAATGCAGCTATATTAGAACTAGAGGGTATGGACTGAATA